ATAATGTGGTAGCGCTCTTGTTCTGCGTCCAAGGCGTCGTCGTCGTAGACGAGCGACGCGTACTTGGGATTTGGGTGAGGTTGGCGGCGCGGACGCTCGGATTGAGTGCCACGCTCGGGAACGGGGCGGAAGGCGGACGTGCGTGGTTCTGCCGCGGCTTGTTCCGTGAAGTCCGGGGCATAGGCGGGCGTGAAGTCGGGCGTGTATGACGGCGGTTGGCGTGGGACCTTGAAGTGCGAACGGTAAGGTGAGATTGGTGGTGGGTTCGTCGAGTTGGATCTCAGGCGAGTACGGCATCGTTGTTCTGGTAGGGGTGACTTCTGGGGTGGTGTGTCTTGGGACGTGTCGTGTGCGGTCGTGCGCAGTGGGGTGACGGCGGGTGGGGCGGAAGCGCGAGTCGGAGCGGTCGTTGGGGCGTGTGTACGTGCGGGGGCCGCGGCCGGAGCGGGTGCTGGTGCGCTTGAGGGCGTGAAGGCGTCGACGGCCGTGTCGACGGCACTGCGGACTCGGTTCATGACGGTGGAGAGCGGTTGCAGCGCGCGTGTGACCTCGGGAAAGGTTCCCGGTGGTGTCGAGGGTGCGGCCGGGGACGTTGGTGCGTTGCGAAAAAACGTTGGTTGGGTGCGTCGATGTGGCCGCAAGGTCGGCGCGGCTCCGTCATCGTCTTCGTCGTCGTCGTCGTCGTCGATGGAATCCGGGAGCGGTGAGTCGTTGAAGAACTCCGATTCCATGAAGTTAACGTGGACGCCATGGGTCATGTTTTGGTTTTCAACGTCATACAACTTGTAGGCCTTCATGGAGTCCAAATACCCCATCATGACGCATAATGTTGCCTTGGGGGCCAGCTTGTTCCGGCGTTCGGATTGTTTCACGAGCTTGAAGCACTTGCAGTCGAACACGCGCATGTTGGTCAGGGAAGGTGAGTGCCCGCTGAAGAGCTCGATCGGCGTCTTCGTGCACTTTGTTGTCTGTAGGACGCGGTTGCAGATGAAGGTCGCGGTGTTGACGGCTTCGGCCCACCAGCGTTGGGCAAGGTTCGCGTGGGTCAGCATGGCTATGGCCATCTCCATCAATGTACGGTGAGTGCGTTCGGCCACTCCGTTCTGCCATTGCTCCCCTGCGGACGATGTCTCGTGTTTGATGCCCATTGTTTTGAGTAGGTGATCAAGTTCCGTAGACGAGTACTCGGGGCTGCCGTCGGAGCGGAACTCCTTGGCCTTATTGCCCGTTTGGCGTTCAGAGAAGGCCAAGACTTCTTGCAGGTTGGTGGCTGGTCAACTGCGTTGGTCGAATGGATGAAATTGACGATCTTGTAGCCCGTGCAGTCGTCGATGTATGCCGTATAGTACCGGCAGCCGCCGACTGACGCGACAGGTAACGGTCCCTTGGGGTCAGAGTGCCAACACTCGCCGGGCTTGTAGGTCCGGGCGCTGCGTTTAGGGACGGTCACGCGTTGCATCTTGGCGCGGGGGCAGTCCATGCACGGCTTGGTCAAGTCGCTGATGCGAGTGGGCAGCCCTAGGCCAGCCTTGGCGCATACGCGCAGTGCTTCGATGGGCAGATGTCCGATGCGGTGGTGCCACAGCGCAGTGGTGTCGGCGGTGACAGCAGAGTATGCTGCCTCGTGGTTAAAGACCCCGTCCAGGACGTATAATCGCTGATCGTTGTTCATTGTAGCGCGCGCCACGGACTGGGAACCGAGAAGAATCGTACAAGCGTCTTGTTGGAATTCCACACGGACTTTGGAGTTGGCCCACATCAGCGCCGGGATGGACAGGAGCGTTGTGGACATGCCCTTGATCATGAGCACGTCGGTCAGGGTGAGTGTTGTGTGTGAGGGTGTGCTGATGTTGAACTTCCCCATGGTAGTAGCGACGGTGACATTGCCGTTGGCCACGACGACTTGACGGTTGCAGGGCTTCGTGTCGAACAAGTGCTCGCTGGCACCGGTCATGTGTGCGGACGCGCCAGAGTCGACGACAATGCGGTGTTCGATGGTACGTGCGTCGCTGGCTTCGACCGAATATACCATGTCGTTGGCGTCGCTGTCGTTGCTGCCTTCGTAGGATGAAGCGACTTCGAAGTCGGCCTCGGGCTCGTCGTCACTGTCCATGGTCGCTTCGTATGGGCCCCCGGTTGGGTGGACGAACATGTGGCTCGTTGGTTGATGCGGATGTCGTTTTCGTTGTCCACGTACGTGTATTCCGGTAAGTAGAACTCGTGGTCCACGATATATGACTCATATGCATCCGGCCCTAGACATGGACTGTATTCTTCGGCATCCCGCGGTCGGCAATCGATGGCTCGAACGTCATACTTGG